CCCTGGTGGTTATAAGTTGAGACTGGAAAATGAACTCTAACCCTAAGTTAGTTTAACCCCATTCTTGAAGCCACCTATGGGCTTCACTCAACCCCAGTAGCATACAAAGACACTGTCACTTCAGAGATTCTAAGGGTCTTAAAAATTGAGTCCCAGGAAATTAGAACAAATGCCGAAATGCATTGCATAGTGGCCTGGGGTCATAACTGTTACTAGAAGAACACTGTTCTAAAAGACTTCAGCGAGAGCACTTGGCTTCGAAGATTCTCTATCATCATGACATGACTGACCGTTCTCATGCTGGATACTGAATCCTCAGCATATCTGCTACTGCTCAGTGAACCACATTTGGCCAACCTTTGGGAGGGGGAGGTTTTGCTTTGTTTTATTTCATTTTTAGTTCTGTTTATAAAGAAGAGACCCTCTCCCTGAAGAGAAGACATCTGTTTCAGGACCCATAGGCCTAACTGAGTTAGGTGGTACACTACCTCGGGTGACAGTGGCCTCTCATTATTTCAGTGAATAGGATTTAACCCCTTAAAGTCAACAAATAGAGAAAGCAAGAAGGCAGGAATACCCACATATTAAGCTACTTAGAGATGATGACGCCTTAAGCCCGAGAAGCCAGAACTCAAAAATTTCAGTTCTCAAAGCCTTATGTACTTAGGCAAAGTTGAAGTATTGGGGAAAACAGTTTGTGGACTACGGCCAGTTTATATTTGCCACTCATAAAATTGCTAACACTTACTTCCATCAGCATGAGATGGGCCCTATCACCACAGAACTGCCTGCATGCGCCTCCAGAGCAACAGAAGAGGTACTTGTAAGTAGCTGTGAAGTACGGGAGCAGTGCTAGGCATGTATTATCTGGACATAGGATCCCAAGTGTGAGCCGTGGCCATGTTTAGTAGGGTGTGTACACAGCAGATTTTAGCGGGGGCTTCAGGGAGGGAAGGCAGCTGCTGTCTTCAGGGTCGTAAAAGTTGCCTCAGCCCAGGCTGATGCTGTGTGCCAGCTACCCCAGCTGCTCTGGAAGCTGAGGCCAGAGGATCCCCAGAACAAGGCTTGCCTAGGCTGCACAGAGTTGCCCGGGCAACTTACACAAAAAGTCTCAAAAGTAACAGCAAAATAAGACCTGGGTTACATACTTCAGTGGTGGAGCACTGAAGGGCCTACTATGTGCAAGGCCATAGGTTCATTCCTATGTATACGTACATACATACATACATACATACATGCATAATATGGAAGTCAGTCAGAATGTCAACTTATTAGCAATTTATGACAAATCACAGCCAAAAATGATATATGGCTTTTTCTCAAAAACCGTCCTTTACTTATAAAACTTATTATTCAAAACAACAATAGATAGATCACGCCTTTAATCCCAGCACTCAGGACACAGAGGCAGGCAGGTCTCTGTGAGTTCCAGACACTCAGGAACAGAGTGAGATTTTTGTCTCCAAAAAGAAATTGGTAAGGTATAACGTTACACCCTATCCTTGCCAGCTCTGTGCATTCTCTGCTGTGTTCTGAGTTAGAGCATCTTGCATGAAATAGGTGGATAGATTTAAATAATAACTTAAAACAGTGTTTTTTTGGTTTAATAGACAGCATGATTTCTAGGGATGATATGAAAGACATAGTTTGGAAACTCGAGGCGTGATGTCATTTACCTTGAGCACACACTATCTCCCTGAGTCTTAGCTTCTTGTCTCAAAGTGTCACCCTCTCGGGGTTGGTTAGGAGTTCGGTACAAATGACACAGGCAAAGCTACCTGTCCTAGGTGTTCAGAAAGCCTAACCCCACTGTCGCCCAGCACTTAAACTCTGCACCGGTGCTAATTCACTATGCAAACATAGACTGCACAGCAGAAGCTCCTTTACAGGGGGAATGCTGTCAAGTGTCTAAAAGTATCATTGATTAAAGCAACTTGTCTGTCGAAATAAGAAGCAGAACGCTTTGAGAGCAGAGACAATCTTACCTGTCTTTCATTTAAACATGTATTCTGATTTTGCTTTGTTGGGTATATTATGTTATTAGATAACGTCACAGGAATGGGGCACGGCTTAAGATCTCTAAGTGTTCATATATGAAAAGCCCTTAGAGTATTTTATTATACCAAACTGGCTTGAGAAAAGCAGGCCTTCAGGCTTCAGGGTCGTTAGCTGCAATGATCACAGACCTCAAGAAGTGACTCTATGGAATTATGAATAATGGTGTTTTATCAGCCATATGTGTATCGCCCTCTCTGCATCAGACATGGGCTGTTGACCATTTCCCCATCCCCACTTCCATCTCCTGGCTTCCTGTAGTCTGCACTTTAAATGCTCCTCAAACAGTGACCTCATTTCACCTCTTGCCTGCTCAGACCTTTAGCAGGACTCCGTTTAGCTATAACCATCCTTGGCAGCTTATGGTATATGTGTGTCTGTAGGATCCAGTTGTCCAGGTAAAAAACTAACCCTGACATTTACTAGAGATATACCCTCCCTCAAACCTCAGATTTACCCATAGAAGTGAATCGGTTATGAATCGTTCCACGCCCTCTCTGCCGTCAGCTCGTGTCTACCATACTCATCTCTGATGATGGGGAGTTCTTCCTAGTAATCTTAGATAATGTTTCTCTGATGCAGAGAAACAGAGAGAAGGACAGGGGAGGGTGGTGATCAGGGACAGAGGGATGGAGCGGGGAGGGAAGAACATAAGAACATCTCCACTTTGCAGTGCCATTTGCATAATTAGACCATTATGTAATTCTTCAAGCCTTCACGGTTTTAAACTGTCCTAGAAATAGCATATCTAATGGTAAATAGATACATCCTCAAGAAAAGTATAATGATGCTTGTTGATCGAATGGAAAGTATTTACAAATCAGAAGCCCCAGCTGTACAGGTATAAATGGCATCTTCTCTACCGCAGATGTAGATACTGTCTTCCCCTTCCAACCTCACTTCCCATTCCTTTCCCAGGAACAGAGAATGCATTCCTTCGTACAAGGGCCATGGAGCTGAGCATTAGTCTAGACCTCATGGTAATTCAGTGGTCATGTGGCCGTCCTCATTTTCCAGAAGGTTCCTCAGCCACTGATGTGGCCATGATTCAAACCCAGGTTGTTAAATTCCAGGGCTTCTCTTCCACATGCATCTGAACACATTCCCGACTCCATATCTTTTTCTAAACCGGGATATTTATCCTAACTCAGATATCTTGTGTTGGTCATGGTTCTCTAAACCAAGAGGATGAACATATGTTAAAAGGTCTTACTCACAAAAAAATAACTCTGGTTGGTCCAGCAATCACTGTCTTCACACTGGAAGGGTTGAGAACTCAGCAGCTGCTCAGCTCATGAATTTAGGTACCTCAGCTGTTCCAGTCTCGCACTGAAAACCTGGAGAGCCACTGCTCGTCAGTCTATATTAGAAGCCCAAAGAAGCTGGGTTCTGACATTAGGGAAGGAATATTACAGCAGCAGTGGTGGGGGCAGCAGCAGAGCAGATGAACTTGCTGGTAAGAGAGCAGGCAAACAAGGCAAAGCTTTTCTTTCTTTTTTTTTTTTTTTTTTTTTAAATCCAGGAAGCCACAAGGAAGGTGTCACCCACATTTGTTCCTCACTTCGGATAACATAATCATGAAAATTCTTCACAGGTGTGCCTCACAGCTTGCCTTTTAGCTGACTGCAGATCCACTCAAGTTATCAACCAAGATTAGCCTTCACACTTCATCTACCTGTCCTTCAAAGTCCAGTAGGATGGCCTTCCACTGACCCATTCATGAAGCTTTAGGCTGTCACCTAGTTCGACAGTTTGCACAGATTGTCTCCTCTGGGTGAGGACTAAGTGTGTAAGCTGTGTAGTAAATGGTTTCTAAGCTACTGCTCTTTGATTCCTATTCTTTATTATGATGTCAATGTTCTGCCCCTAGCAGACGCTTAATAAAATGAAAGCAATTTTAAATTAACAGCACTTCACAGATAGAAGGCTCTCTCCTCTCTTTAGGATAAGATATAATTCTCAGATTTGAGATTAAATCTTAAAATTTTTTGAATTAACAAGTTCTCTGGGGGGCTATTTCCAGTTTAATGAAAAAAAGAGGAAAACGATTGGTTAAGTCAACTTTGTTATCACGTTAAAAGGGCTGGGTTTGATGGAGGATAATTTGCCTTCTGTCTCTTCAGCGTCTGTGGACCTTCTCTTTTGCTTTCCCTTGCAATTAAATGTAACAACCCCTTCTGTTGCAGGGAGAGTAGCTAAGAAAGGACCAGGGGCAAAGGGGAACACCACCCCCAAAAAAACAACCTTGGATCTGTTTTCTAGAACCAGGTCGCCATGTGAGGAGATGGCAAGGATTCGGGGAGTCGCAGATTTGTTTCCCCTGAGGACTGAAGGTCTTTGGGGAGGGGTATGGCTAATGCTCAGGATGGATCAAGAAACCGGAAGTCCCGCCCTTCTTTCCTTTTCCTTCTCCTTTTTTTATTGACCTATGTTTTTTTTTCCTTCCCGCCCCCCTCCCCATGTACGACTTGAAGAGGACTGCATGAGTTGGTAGCATTGATTGGTTGATTAAAGATTGTCTTGGAAATCTCTAGAATCCATTCTGCCTTAATTCGAACTCATCAGTATTAACGGTATGATTAGAGTAGCCGATAAGCAACAGACTGAATCTCTCCCAAGAAATAACAAGGCGTATAATTTATAAGGCATTTATGTTTCAAATACATGAGAAATGCTATCAGTATGGAAGCAGCTTCAGTGATCAGCGTACTTTGGGGGAAGTCGGAAATTTTGACTTCCGTGCCTTAAAGAATGTTAGGTGGGAATTATTGTAACAACACTTCGCAGGTTAAAAAAAAAAAAGTTCTTAAACGGAAGACAAGCGAGGGAGTATCTGTCTCTCTTGCAGAAGAAGAATTCCTGAACAATGAGGGAAAGTGACTCTCTGAAAAGAAGCCCTGTTATTTTAATCTTTTTTTCTTCATCGCCGGGTCTCTCACATTCAGGAAAATTAGGTGGAATTACCCATGAAAATAACACCATAGATTCCGGAGAACTTGATATTGGCCGGAGAGCAATTCAAGAGGTTCCCCCCGGGATCTTCTGGAGATCGCAGCTCTTTATCGATCAGCCACAGTTTCTCAAGTTCAACATCTCTCTTCAGAAGGATGCATTGATCGGAGTGTACGGCCGGAAGGGCTTACCGCCTTCCCATACTCAGGTGAGCGTGGGCGTTGCCATCAATAAAATGCGGGCTCCTACTCTGCATTTCCAGATGTTACTCTATCTCTGAAACTCAGCTGTTGGGGGAAGTCTAAACGGATATTTTGCGATAGAAGTTTGTGTGTAACTTGTGCTTGTTCGAGACATCTGAATCACTAGTAGGAATAAGGGCTTGGCTTGGGTTGCTAATGATGGGTTGAAATGGCTAAAAATGTCAGAGGAACTTAATGAGGGTAGAGCATCAGCTGGGTATCTATCACACAGTCCAACCTCCAAGATTCTATTGTAATTTCAGATGGTTGTATATAACCTTCATGCCCAAGAGGGGTACTTAAGATCATCTTAAATCTATTGATTTGGTTAAAGCGGTTCTTGAGATTTATGTCAGATTTATTTTTAGTAAGGAGAATGTTGAAATACACACGTAATAAGCATGATAGTTAACCACAGTTCCCCTTTGAAAACAAGGAAGAGTGACGTGAGTAGTCAGAATGCTCGTAGACAGCCAAGCATGATGACATCCGTGTGCTCCTCAGACTACTGGACCCATAGCATTAAAAGTCAGTTCTTTGTATGAAGACACTCCCACTGGAAAAGCCGCAGCTGAAATGTCCACAGAGGAGCTGCACAGACGTGCAATCACAGTTACTCTGAAGTCTGAGGCAGGCGAATCACAAGTTCAAGGCTAGCCTGGGCAGCTAAGTGAGGTAAATTTCAAAGTTGAAAAGTAGCCTAGGAAGCTGACTCAATGGTAGGGTACTTGCCTAGAGTCTTTAAGGTCCTAGTCCCCTAAGTTCAATCCCAACTACCACAAAAAACCAAAGACTATAATACAGAGTCACACATATCCAGTTTAGACATTGAGGGTTTATTATTTTTAAAAAACAGGCTTATAAGGGGGGGGGAGAGATAGTAAAGGAAACACTGAGTTTCAGTCTCTGTCATCAGGAGGAATAAAAAGGCCCCATAATATCTAAGCAAAAGTATTTTTGAATTATCGCCTATAAAATTGGAAAAGGAATTTAAAAATGTACTAGCCAGTTAATTAATACTTAGATGAGTTTGACATATTTTATAATAAGTATTTCCTTGTGGAATTCCATGTTGGATTTTTTTTTCATTTAAGATAGAAAGACCAAGATTTTCATGCAAACTACATATTCTGTGCTCATTTCTAGAATCCTAGGTTGTGAAATATCAAAAATAATGGCCAAACACTAGTAAAGCAATCCTATCTTGAAAGAAGTACTCAGGTTCTCAGCATGCCTTCTGAAGCATCTATGGATTTCTGTTTCCGTGTGATTTCTGACTAATATGTTACAATAGATCCTCATATCTGTGATGTCCGACTGAACCCCATGGGTCCTTCTGTGTCAGACATTTGTCATGATGTACAAGTATCCAATCTTAAGCTTTAAAATTTACCCCAGGGTGATGCTGACTTTAAACCTTGTGGGAAGAAAAGATAAAGACACTAAAAAAAAAAAAAAATGGAAAGTTGTCCCCATACTCATGAACTGAGAGAATTCATATTGTAAAAATGCTAATTATACCGAAAGCTAGTTAGAGATTCAATGCAGTCCCAACCAAAATGTCCATCCTAGTCTCCATCGAAATAGAGGGACTGCCAAGGAAAGTGAATTTGTAAAGCTCCACTTACCCCAGACATACTGTATCTATGTGAATAGTCCAGCGAGACACAGAAACTTCTCGCCACTGAAGCCACATCTGAAATTAAATTATTTTCTCCAGTTCAAGGAAGAATCCTCTTACGTTAAGCACATTTATAAATGTGCACCTTAAAGTCACCTACAAATAATTTCAGATGAAACATGGGTGCTCTATCCAGAAGTGGGCGTACACACACTAGGCAGACAGAGGCTACAAAGCTGGCCAGTAAAGTTCAAGGCCAGCCTGTTCTCTGTAGCAAGTTCCAGGCCAACCGGGGCTGTTGTAAAACCTGTGTATTGTGTTGTGCACTTAAAAAGCTTGTTTAGCCGGGCAATGGTGGCACACTCCTTTAGTCCTAGCACTTGGGAGACAGAGGCAGGTGGATTTCTGAGTTCGAGGCCAGCCAGGGCTATACAGAGAAACCCTGTCTTGGAAAACAAAAAAACAAACAAACAACAACAACAACACACAAAAAAAGCTTGTTTAAGGATATATAGCTGACTTTTGCATTAAATGCATAACACATAAAATTAGGAAAACGGAAGGCGCAGTTGATGTCTTCTTACAATTGCACCATTATTTAGTAACAGTCCCCATGACATCTATCCTTTCCTGCCACAGTATATGTGTGTGTGTGTGTGTGTGTGTGTGTGTGTGTGTGTATGTATCTGTGTAAGGGTATCCTTTTTCTTAAGCCTTGGTTATTAGAGTTCCTTCCTCTGGTTTATTCAAGATCAGCAGAGCAAACAGCTGTTTCTGAGTTCAGTGTTTAAACATGAAATATGCTATAAAGCAGCCCAAATTGAACATTTCTCTGTTCCTGGGGAGCATTAAATAAATCAACCTGAAATAATTAAAATCGGCCAGCCCCTCAGAAGAGTCACTTGAGTTTTGAAAGTCAAAGTCTCTGTGACCCTTTATAGAACTGCCCATTTGATCATTGCCAAGGAACTGACAGACTGTCGTCTCCCGGATGGCCGATTTATTCTCCTGGACGGTTGGAAGCCTAAGGAAGCAATTCTTTGCTCTGTAGCTCCTGTGCTATGGCATGTTAGTGCATTTGCCTGACGGCTGTTTCAGAAAAGGAGGCAGAAACCCAAGTTCTAAACACCTACCACTTTTTGATTTTTATGCCTTATATCATACGTGACCTTGTATAAGTAACTTAACTCACCCAAGACTCAGTGTCTGTTGGTAAAATGAGAGAGTTGAGTAAGAAGACTTCTAAAACATTTTTCTTCTCTGTGTTCTGGCAATATATACAGCAGGACTATGCCACCATCAGACACTTGAAGGGAGGCAACTTTTTAAAGGCAGGGCATGCTGCCATGCAGTTACCATCCTGACACTTGAGAGGCTTTGAAGCAAAATGTTTGGTAGTTAAAGGCCGTCAGGGGGTACATGGCAAAGCTGGCTCAAAAACCAAGAACAACAGTTGATTGAAGGGCATAGTCAAGCGTTCACTGACTCGGCACCCATCAATTTATTAACAGAAATGGAATTCAACAGATAGATTGTCTTGTCTTTTCAGAAGTAAACTACCAAATACCAGGAAAAGTCTTATTTTCGTTTTTACATGGCTGATTAAATAGTAAACCATTGAAAAAGAAACATAACATTTGTGTGTCACACACACACACACACACACACACACACACCATATTAGGTAATAGCCTAAGAAATAAGGTAATATTATAAGAAAACTTCCCTTAAAGCAATGGTTCTCAGCTTGTGGGTCATAACCCCTTGAGTGGTGGCATATCATATATCCTGCATATCAGATATTTATATTTCATAAAAGTAGCAAAATTAACAGCTATGAAGTAGTAGCAACAGAAATAATTGTATGGTTGGGGGGTCATCACAACCTAAGGAGCTGTATTAAAGGGTCACAGCGTTAGTAAGGTGGAGGAGTACTTCCTTAAAGGGAGCTGACCAAGTTCCAACTTAGTGAAATCTTGTAACATAACAGATGCTGCCGTGATGGCTACCCAGAGTTTAAGATTGAACAGTTGGTCCAAGGGATTGTATACTGAATATAGCGTAAGTTCTTAAGTTCCTCCCCACAGAAATCAATCCATGCACAGCTCCAGTCTGTAAGTGGAGCAAAGCCCAGACTAGCCCTTATATGATCATGTTTTGCCCGAAGGACAAGCCATATAATGTGTTTATTTTGAGTGGAGATGATTATAGTTTAAAGAAGGTAATTTTCTTCAGGTGTTTTGAATAGCTCTCCTGAAGTCATCTCTGAAATGTCATTACAGAAGCCTAGAGCTGGGGTTTAAAGCCGCCAGATACTTCTCAGCACCGCATGGTCCCCTCCACTCTAGTGCCCCGTCAATGTGTGGGCGTGGCACAGATGTGTATCTCTGTGCTGCCAGTGACAACTGACTGTAGACTAGTTAAAACTCCAGATTTCTACGTTTTTACTTTCTCAGTTACTGTAGGTATAATGTGGGAAAATCATCTGTATTGAACCATGGAAATAACGTTTTCCTTCTTGCTTTGCCCTGGTAATATAAATATTTAAATCCGATGAGTAAATGGAGAGAACTTATTTGAGGTGGAGGCACCCTTCAAAATTAGGCTTGCTTCTTCTCCTCTACTCATGAGGAGATGGAATTCCCGTGACGTTTTCATAAATAGCCAGAAATGTCATTGTTTCAGTCCTTGTAAGAAAATTGAAAAAATGTTGAGGGCTAATGAAGTTTGCATATGTCTTGCATATTACAACCCAAAGAAGAAAATGCTTTTATTTAAATCAAGGTTTTAGTAAGTCACAAACTGAATCGCATATCAGATCCTCTTATTGTGACCATAAATGACTATTTAAACATAATTCCCAGAAATTCAAATAACTAATTCGATTTTTTATTTGATTTGATTAAGAACGTCGTATAATATAATAGTGTTTTCCTCATACAACTGTTCCATTTAAAGAATTAATCATATCATAAAGTACAAGTGATGCACAGAGATAGTACTACACTTATGACATTTCGTGCATGGTCCACATCTCCTTACATATGCTTGTAAGCTTTTACACTAAATATGTTTCAGAAGTAAAATAAAACTGGACAAGAGGAGCACTGTGCTAAGATGCTAATAACTAATGAGCTTACTGAAGCCACTATTGAAGAATCTCTTCAGTGTCTTCCAAATTCACTGGCATCTGTTTACAATTCTATAGGCTGGAAACAAACAACCCTATAGGTTTGTTGGCACTCCTGTCCCATAGCTTAAATCCTCCAGTTCAACGCTCTTAACTGCTAGTGTTTGTAATTAATTGTGGTAAAGACAAAATGCAGCTTCAAGGATGACTGTCGCCACCACCCTAACTCTGCCCGTGGTTGTTTCTCCATCCCTCTAGACCCCTCTAGAGGTTAATCAGTCTATTGACTTTAATTAGGGATATTAAAGCCTTCATTACAAAGGTTCAACCTAAGTGTATTTGTGTAAAATCCCATGAACGCGTGAATGGTTACGTTAGGATCCCAGGAGAGATGTGTAGTCCTGGGGTGGAAAAGACCCCGGCTCTACAGCAGGGTGCATCCAAGTCCCTAGACCAGATGCACCAGTTCACAGGGAGGAGGACCTGCTGAACCTCCTAAGGAGTCCCCAAGAGTAACTATGAATGCCTTGCCCAAGGAGCTGCTTCCAGGAATAAGAATTATCCCAGGGGCCTTTAGACAGCACTCATTGCTATACATAGCGTCAAGTGGGAGTAGTTCTTAAACTATTCATGGTCTGAGTAGAATCCCATAGATTTCAGTTATATCCCCAAACTGCATTAGTTTACCAAACTCACCATCGGTCAGGAGCACGAATAAAATTTGCAATTATCTTATATAAACAAATCGAATCGATTTGCAGGTTATGGAGTTAGCTGTCCATAATTACTTCAACACCTAACTAAAATGAACAGAGTGACCACTTCTAAGAGAGGCGGGCATCTCACAAATGCTCCCTAAAAAGGAAGGAAATTATCGTTTCAGTTTGAACACAAGGAGATCCAACGGGTAGTTTTTATTCTTATAAAATCCATGCATAGAAGACTTCTGTCACTTGGACCTGTCGATCAAAAACTTCTTTCTAGTACTTGGTTTATTTGCCAAAGAGGACAGCTTGAAGTTGCAGTACGTGTATTATTTCTAGCTACTAACACTGTTTCCCATGCCCTCGTCCCCAGTACGACTTTGTGGAGCTCCTGGATGGCAGCAGGTTAATTGCAAGAGAGCAGCGGAACCTGGTGGAATCTGAAAGAGCCGGGCGGCAGGCGAGATCCGTCAGCCTGCACGAAGCTGGCTTTATCCAGTACTTGGATTCTGGAATCTGGCATCTGGCCTTTTATAACGATGGGAAAAATCCAGAGCAGGTTTCTTTTAACACTATCATTATAGGTAGGGGCCTTCTTCAAAGCATCCTTTTCCACCTATAGCCTAAGCTCTGCGCTGAATAGAAAGTAAATCATCGTTACCAGACTTGAGCGATGTCTCGGGTGATAAAGCACGGGTAAAATGAACACATTGTCAGTTGCTCATTGGTGACTGTACAGCAAGCCCTAAAGCTCTGTAAAATATACTATAAATTACTGTGGGGAGGAAAAGCACCTCAAGAGAACACTTTTAAAACTCTGCACTAGAAGTATCACGGCTTTAAGTCAGTATGCTGCAGATTATCTTATATAAATGAATCGATTTGCAGGTTCTGGAGTTAGCTGTCCATAATTACTTCAACACCTAACTAAAATGAACAGAGTGACCACTTCTAAGAGAGGCGGGCATCTCACAAATGCTCCCTCTTGTCTCTCTCCTTCAGAGTCTGTGGTGGAATGCCCCCGAAATTGCCATGGAAACGGAGAGTGTGTTTCTGGAACTTGCCATTGTTTCCCAGGGTTTCTGGGTCCGGATTGTTCAAGAGGTATGCAAGTCAGATTCCCTTCCTAAGCGAATAAGCCGTAGGAATACATCCAATTGAGAAAACATAGCAACGAGGGAAAGGGAAGGGGTGGGAAAGGCGCATAGCTGCTTGTTCGTCGGGAGGCTCAGTGGAGAGCGTGGCTGTTGATCCCTTCTGTCATGTGTTATTTCACAGCAGCCTGTCCCGTGCTCTGTAGTGGCAATGGGCAGTACTCCAAGGGCCGCTGCCTGTGCTTCAGCGGCTGGAAGGGCACCGAGTGTGACGTGCCGACTACCCAGTGCATTGACCCGCAGTGTGGGGGTCGTGGGATTTGCATCATGGGCTCTTGTGCTTGTAACTCGGGATACAAAGGAGAAAACTGTGAAGAAGGTAAACATGTCAATATTTACCAAACCCTTCTTGTTATCTCCATAAAGAAACAGATTAAATCTGTAATCTCCGGTTAGGCAAAGGCATCTCTCTCACACATGCTTCTTTACGAAAAAGCAATTTTTATTTCCATATTTATGAACGCATTGTTCCATTAACGTTTTAACTAATAAAAAGAACAGATACCAAAGAGCCCTTTTGCTCTGTTTCTGTAGCATGAGTAATCCTTTTTTTTTTTTTTAAATCTCTGAGAAAGTAAGCAAGCATTTGTGTCTTAAATCCCAACAAAGGACTGGCTTGTTGTTGTTTCTTTTTAGCTTTTTGCATTGATGCTGACTTCCTTGACATCTCTGGAAAGTAGGGACAGTTGAATGGAATGGAATGAATAAGGACAACTTAGTGGATTTGTCCCACCACTGTATGGGAGATGAGAGACGAGACACTAGGCTGTAAAGTGCAGTTAAACTGGTTTGCTTTGGTTTGGTTTGCTTTTCTTCCAGAAAGCAAAAAAAAAGAAAAAAAAAAAGCACTATTTCCGTTCTCCAATCAAATTGATTGTATTGATCTGGACTCACAAAGTAATGCAATTAAGTCTCTGGAATTAAATTTTCAGGCCATTGACCGTACAAGTGTAAAGTTTTATTGAGTCAAATTGCTAAATTAAATCTCATCTTCTAAAGCACATTAAAGTGAATTAAGAAGGATAGAGTGTGCAACTCATTTATTTCTCGAACAATCTGAGGAGCCCACGCAGCTGTCAGTGCCCGGTGGTCACGGAGAGGGTCATTGCGTACAGGGTCTGTTCTCGAAAAGGCAGTCGTTATGGCCCTGCAGAGGCACAACACGGAGCGGTTGTCTTAGACCTCCAGAACGTGTTCGTCTAATCTGTGAAAATGACAAATCCTTGCAAGGGTCTCAGTTACCTAAATGGCGCTGGGTTGGTTCTTAAAACTTGGTCCAACTCCCTGCCTTTTCAGAGACAAGTTCATGAGAGTGGAGGATAGATGTTTGATTATCTAAAACATTGATAGGAATTCAATTAAGAGTTGATGCTTTATCCCGCATGAACTAGGATATCTTTCATCTTTAATAAAATTGTTCTCTTCTCTTGACACTAGCGGACTGCCTAGATCCTGGATGTTCTAATCATGGGGTGTGTATCCATGGGGAATGTCACTGCAATCCAGGATGGGGTGGCAGCAACTGTGAAATACTGAAGACTATGTGTGCGGACCAGTGCTCGGGCCATGGGACATACCTTCAGGAAAGCGGCTCTTGCACTTGTGACCCAAATTGGACTGGCCCCGACTGCTCAAATGGTGAGGTCAACTAATACCTTACGATCAAGTATTTACCGTAATTTAATTAAGATTTGGGGATCTATGACTTCTTCAGGCACATTTGTTTAAACTTTATTACATTACCAAATGATTATTTAAAGATATAAATGTATGAAGGAATGAATTAGTTACTCCTTATGAAAAGGAAATAAGCTTAGGTAATTTATTATTAAAAATTCACTCTTTATTATTGGCAAGCCTTGTCTTTCATCTGCATAAGACAGCCCTATCTTCTTCAGTCTCACTATATGGAAATACTGACTTACATGAGTATGTATGTAGTCTATCTACCTTTTAGGGGTGGGTCAAGGCTTTGTTGAGACAGGGCCTCATGTAGCCTAGGCTGGCCTGGGCTGGCCTCAGACTTACAACGGAAAAGAGACTGGCCCTTGTACTCACAAACCTATGCCACCATGCCTAGAAATTCAGACACTTTAGGGGATAAGCAAATACTCTGCAATTCATAAAACAAAGCAGACCCAACAACAGAAGACTGAACATGATCACACTGAAGCATGAATGAAGATGAGAAGGAAAGCCACAGTAATCTTATTCACTAGTATATGGACACGTGCACATACTCTGGTATTACAGAAACGGACATTGTACAAATTGGTACTTATGGTACTGGCTGATTTTTTTTTCAAATTGTTTGCTTGTTTGTTTGTTTGTTTTTTGTAATGCTGGTTACAAATCAGGAACTAATTCCATGATATTCCCAGTCATTAGTCACAGAGTGTGAGAGGATGCCATTCACCCTAGAAGATGACAGTTTTAATTGGGAGCACGTGAAATAATTAGACGCCAATCTAATATCATACCAAGTGTTATGTGGAGTAATTTGCTAAACTCAGAGGAATAATCCCGTCTTGGCAAATATTGAAAATTTTCACAGGGATGTCTATGAACACTTCTGCCTCCATTTAAACTCCGGGCGGGGCAAGTAAAGGGACCATTTGTGACTGAGGAAAATGTTAGAGAGTGTCTGAGGACTCAGCTGTGAAGTCTGACGCATGTGTTCGTGGCCAAGTGTATTGCGTAGGTCTTTAGTCTTTAGAAAATTACTGTTGTGTCTCAGCTCATGAGAGGACTTTGCAGAAGTGTGGACCTGAAGAGAGGGCAGGTAGTTTAGAATCGATAGAAATGAAAAGTACATATACGAGCAACATTTGAAATAAACAAGACTTAATGAGAAAATAAGATACAGTAGTTTGGTGAGAAGAGTTGAAATTCCAAAGCAGGGAAAAACCATTGTCCATATTAGTATCTAAAATAGACCATGGGATCAGGAAAGAGAGACACAGTAGAGGCGGGTTGAGATTCATGGGAAAAAGAGAAAATGAAGGATACCTAAACAAAAACAAATATTTGAAAAGGAGAGGAAAAGGAATGAGCAAAACGAAGGAGGAGAAAGGAGAATAGATTTTCCCAGCTGTGCTGCATAGAGCGTTCTCCAAAACCTAGGTAGCCGTAGGCAGCGTCTCTCTGCTCCTCCTCCCGCCCCTGGATCTCCCACTTTATGGATGAACTTCAAACATGCGGGTCCAACTGTTCAGGTTCAATCAATCTTTGAGGTTTTTTTTTCCCCCTTCCAGCTCTGGATACCAAACTTAGGACCTTTAGTATACTGGGACAACTGCGCTTTACCCCTAACTATGGATTCGCCTGTAGATTGGTCATTCAATAGCTGTCTGTGGGTAGGGCAGCATCTTTATAAAGTAGGGCGCATGGTACCATTACTTTACACTTTGGTCGTTAAGTTCAGATGCTCCAGCTGAGCAGTGCACATAGAGTAAAGCCTCGGGCACAGTGCTACAGTTGATGCTGGGGTAGTGCCGGGAACATTCGAAAACAGTAGTGTCCTGGAAACAAGCTGAAGAAACTTTTCTATACGCTGATATGTAATAGTCTCACAAAGTTTCTTTTCAACCCAAGAGTAGATGTTTTCCCATCTCTCCTCCTTTAGTCTCCCCTCCCACAGTCCCCCTCCCTCTCATTCCCCCCCTCAGCCTCCCCCTCCCTCAGGCTCCCCTCCCTTAGTCCCCCTCCCTCTCATTTCCCCCCTCTCTCCCCTCCCTCGGTCTCCCCCTCCCTCAATCCCCGCTCCTTCAGTCCCCCTCCCTCAATGCCCCTCCCTCAGCATCCCTCCCTCAGTCTCCCCACAATGTTTATCAAGCATGAGTGCCTGACACTAAGTCTATATTTGCTTGGTTTGTCCAGTTCTCTTAAAATACATATTTTAGTCAGATAGTGATGGCACATGCCTTTAATCCCAGCACTTGGAAGGCAGAGGCAGGTGGGTCACTTGATTCAGAGGCCAGCCAGGTTTACAGAGTGAGTTCCAAGATAGATACAGAGAGACTCTCTCTTGAAAAAAGCAAAAAAAAAGTGGGGAGGGAAGAAAACAATATTTTAATCATAAGAATCAAAGTAAGCATTCAGTTATTTCAGATTTTTTTTACCTACTTAGATTTCTAGCTCCTGTACTTTTTTTAAAAAAAAAAAATGCATTCCACAAAGACAATGCAGTTGAGTTTTATAGGGATGCTTACTTGAGGAGTGAAGGTTCTTGGTCCAGGTGTGTCCTTGCTCGGAGCACAGGTCTAGTAAGGTTGGTGTACAGTAGCCCTAGGTGAGATGTGGTCAGTCCAGTTCGCTTCTTGGAATGCTCACTGTCCTTGTTCCTTAAAATGACTAAAACTGCCATCCATCCTGATAAAATCATCTTGCCATGACTAACAAAAACAACAAATAAATGTTCATTCGAAGATTGGCTCTCCACACCCCCTGTATTGTGCTTAGGTTTTATATCGTCCATCGCTGATACAATTGCTTTATAGCTGAGAATCTAAATAAAATTTCTGTCTAGACGTAAAAGAAATAAAATAAAAATCTAAATAAAAACTAGAAACTGGGTGGAGATCTTTGTTCTGTTCAACTTCACATCCTCAGCCCAAAACAGAAATGTAGCACATTAAACTCAGTGTATAGAATGAATAAGAAATGAAGTGCTCTTTTGCAGAATAAGATTAAACGTAGAAAAACAGCAAGCATAATTATCAGCTGTGAAGACAGAAAACTTAAGATCAGTAGCAATGCTCTCCAAGGGCCCGTGCTCACCCTGGAATGCAGTGGGCCTCACGCCTGCCCAGCTCTGACTGCTGTGTACCTGATATTTACAGCTTATCCAAACATTATCGTTCACTTACATATGTGGCCAAGCATTTACTAGCAATGTAAATCTAAGGTTTGAACTAAATGAACCCGAAAGGAAAACACTGCCAGCTCCTTCTTTTGACACTGTGAAAGTGACCTTCAGGTATCTAGATACAATAAGAGAGTAGAATTTATAACCCAAAGAACATTGGGCGAAGCTATTAAAGAAGAAGAAGAAAAAAATGAATTATTTTCATGATGAAGTGAATAGGTTTGAAAGCAAGAGGCTCCCTCTGTCTCCATCAGCAGCGTGTCCATTAATTAGCCCTTCAATTCCACTTCAATTAAATTAACTCTAATTAATAAGTTCATTACAAAGATTGACGCACCTTGCTCAAAGCCGGTGTGTTAAACGCTGATAAACAACTTCACCCTAATGAAGAATTGATTCGATTGAATAAAAGGGGGACCTCCAAAACGCCTTTCCTCATGCTGGGTTGATGTGATGTTGGTCCGAAGTTAATCAAACCGTCTTGGTCTCTTAATCAAAACTTTAATTCAAAGGAGATAGAAAAACATGGTATCGGGGGCACAAGGGGTGTGCGGAGACACAACTCTCTCCCAGAGAATGTCCCGAGCGTTCTTTATAAGAAATGTTACAGTTCTGATAATGTATTACTATAGTGTCAAAAGTAGATGAAGATGAGGATGAGAATGGTCCCCAGGAATATCATTTGGGAACCAAATCATCAGTGTGGGAATGGGTGTTGGTGATGATATAAATACTTTTAATTGTAAAAAAAAAAAAAAAAAAACATGGCCGCCATTTCTTTTCTGTGTGTTACAAATGACTTTGAAGTGAAAATTAAAACTAGAACCATTGTTTTGCAGTCTTAAGACAAAACCCATACTTAACTTTATAGAGAAATAACAAAAACCCATATATCCTTCAGAGTTCCTCTCCTTCCCTTTCTTTCTCTCTCTCCATTAGACCTAGTTATGTAAAGCTCTTAAGAATGCTTTCTTTTTAAAAGTGACTTCAGACATCTGAATACTTTTTAAGGCTTAATCTAGTGTTATGCAATCCGAAGGCATTTGGTCATTGTGCGCCTTTCAAAAATTCCAACAGATGAAAATCTTTGTTTTTCAAATGACAGAGCCGATGTGTGTATATATGTTATTAAACTGGTTTTCTATTATGTGAGCTAGGCAATTTGTAGCTGTCAAGAGTAAAATTTACTAAATAGGAAAAACAGCATTTTCTCTTATTTAACCAGCATGCCTTCGTGTGAGCAGGCTAATGTACTTTCTGTAAGAAGTCTCCTTCTAGTTTCTGAATATTGAAAACAATATAAGCCCTGGCTTTAGCAATCAGCCCTTTTCATTTCCCAGGAACTGGATGAGACAATTCCTGTTAAATACTTGACACACTGTGCTAACTCAAATATCATTTTGGTGTGCTTGGTCTTTTTCTTGGGTACCGAGGGGGTAGCCTTATATATTTATATAGGACAATTCTATCTACATAGTATTTTGTAATTACTTATAGACCAAATGTATATGAAAATATTTTGTAGATACGTATAGATAAAGTAATTTTCCCAAACAATTTTCACGTGTGTTCTGTGCACCCACAACCACAAGTTAAAGGAGATTAAAGAATATCAAATCCTACCATTCCCCGTTGCCACTCATCGATGCCAAGATTGACTTAGTGCACAGCATAATGACCTTGCTTTTCACTTTGACAAATGGAAGATGTAACTCCTAATAATTCTCCTTCTCACCCACAACCCGTTCTTTTCTCTTGCCCGGACTCCTCTTTTTGCAATACAGAAATATGTTCGGTGGACTGCGGCTCACACGGTGTCTGCATGGGGGGCACCTGTCGCTGTGAAGAAGGCTGGACAGGCCCAGCATGTAATCAGAGAGCTTGCCACCCTCGCTGTGCCGAACACGGAACCTGCAAGGACGGCAAGTGCGAGTGTAGCCAAGGATGGAACGGAGAACACTGCACGATCGGTAGGCCAACCAGACTTCTAGTTAGCTACCTACTGTGCTTTCTGTTCTGTGCTGAAACCAAACCCTGACTTATCTCCATGATAGATAAGCAGTCTGTCACCAGACTCCACCCCCTACCCTTAAATGCTTTTCCCTGTCGTCTATTTACTGCAGAAGAGGTCAAATTCTTGGATGTTTTTCGGATTGGAAGAACCTCCCCTCTTCAAATTCTCTTTCATTTTCTTTATGAAAAAAGAGATTTATTGTTAAGTACTGTCTACATTTAACAATGCTAATTCACTTCTTGTCAGAGAAACATGCCGGAGTATGCGACATAATTATTTGTTATTTGTTGCTTAGTATGATGGCCACAAAAACGGACTCACATAAAGAAATGTCCATTGGTTTCTAAGCCATGCATTTTGGTCAACTGTGATGTAATAGGCACGTCACCCACAGAGCGCTCACCCAGCCACTGCAGCATTGTGTCACATTAAATACTGACTGCTAGGGTCCTATCTTGATATCGCACTTCCTAATAGCAATCATACTTTCTACTTTACATATATTTTTTTTAATTTCCCAAATACCTGGGCTTGCTAATCCCCATAGATTCTAGTGTCATCCTTCTGAGGCTTTTGGTACAGTGAATTTCTACCAAGGAGGTTTGAGTCCCTTTTTTTTATGGCTTTATATTGCAATATCATTAGAAGTAAACTAAAATAAACCCAAGCATAGCTGATATATATGCCTGATATTTCCTCAAATATGGTGATGTTCACAAATGCCTGTAGGGTGGATAAAATATTACCCATAGCTTTCAGACTAAAAGGGGGAAAAAGCGGTGAGAAGGGTTGTATCTAACCAACACTTAATGTGGATTCAAGAGAATCTAGAACAAATTACCGCCTTTTCAACACATGCAATATTCCCCTACCCTTCAAGTTGCAGGATTAAAATGCTCAACTAATAACGTACATTAAAAGGTAAAGTGAGTCATAAGTTTCTACCTCACTTTGTTAAAAATCACCATCAAAGATTATACGTGCCAGGCTGACAAAACTTTCAGAAGGTAAGGCACCATGTTTTCTCCACTATTTTTTGCTCAGCAGGTAAAATTTTGATGAAGCTATCTGGGATCGTGTCAGTAACTTAATGTATTCTTCCAATGTGTATGTATGATGCACTTCTTATTTTGCTTACAGGAATTGGACAGCAAGAAAGTTCATCATGGGAAAATTGAAATCACACATGTGTTATAAGATTGTCACATGCACATAACTCCCACTCCTGACCCCACACAATTAAAAGTCAATCTTTTTTTTAAGTTAGCACAATCCTGTCTTTACCAACTTTGTGTAAGTTTTTTTTTTTTTGCAATTTTGTTGGTATCCCTGAAATATGTTTCAAGGGTCCCACTGTACCCCTATGTTTGGTGATCTCCCTTGACTGCTCTTTCAAGGGTCCCACCACACCTCCACTTTTAGTGATCTTCTCTAAAGACTCTTGGGACTCAGAGGTGATTGGATTCATGACTGTAGTTTACAGTGAACAGAAAGAAGGAAGGATGCATCAGAGTCTGGAGTCCAATGGAGCCTTTCTCCATGTTGAGATGCATCATTATGTACAGAATTTCTGCCATGCAAAGACCCTTCGAAACTCATGGTCCAAGGGTTTAGACTTGAGGAGCTGTCTTCTGTTCGCCATGATCACTGACATCTCAGACTCTCAGAAGAGCAAGCGTTTAGGGCTCCTTCTGGACTCAGAACCTGTAACAGTTTAGGGAACATTTACATTTTTAGATGCCACGCAAGACCCAACCCCACCAGCTTCTAAACATCCCTTCTGCACCTTCACTGGTACAAGACTGTCTGGGGTGACTTGCTGACACTGGGGAACGGTTCTGTCTGCTGAAATCATCCACAAACATCGGTATTCATAACTCTTGCCCAGTGCCCATCCTTGCTCTGATGTAGCTCTCCCTTCTGTTGTCTGTGAGGCTTCTTGGGCAGGGCCCACAGCAGGCTCATGAAGCTACATTAAAGCAGAAAACAGTTGACAAGCAGGATTTCCGTGTCGTTCTCTGGATACACAAAGAACAGTACAGTGCCCTTTTGTCCAAACAGCTCTTATTCAGAATCCCGAGTCTTCCCACAGCAGAAGCAAGACGACTTCACTCAACTTCACAAATTAATTCTAGCTAGGAGCAAAAGAATTCTATCTCTCACTATATATCCTAGGAAAACCAGCAGATACACGTGCATAGCTTTAAGAAGTTAGAAATGTACCAGAAAGCTACAATAAACACAAATAACTTGTCACCCAGTAGCTACCCAGTAAGCTACTTCCTTGCTGGCCTATAGTTACCAGTTTCCTGTGGATACGTTCTTCCAAAAAGTTTCCTAGTTGTTTGGAAACAAACAGGATTATAGTTAGCACTGGGTCTTTTTATTGCCGTTGAAATGTTTCTTGCATTGTTGGTTGACAATTCTGTTTTCTATTATTTCCATTAATTGTGTTCCTTTATGCTCCAGTACAGGAAATAAAGGACCTACTTGGATATGAATCTTTAAAAGCTGTAGAGCCCCTTCAGGGCTGAGCATATAGCTCTGTGGTAAAATGTTTTCCCAGCATATGTAAGGCCCTGGGCTCAATTCTCAGCAGCGCCAAAAAGAAGAGTGTAGAGATCTCTTTAAGTCCTACTTTGTTCCTTCATGCTGCTTGAATGGTTCCAGTTTTGCCCTTCTTCTGTCTGCTTCTGTGCATGCCACAGTGAAGCCCAAGGGCTACGGGTGAGCTGTTGGCAAGGCAACCAGGAAGCGGTGGAGCACTTCCCCATTTGGGACGGTTACTGTTCCTCTTAGTTCTAACATGTACCTGGCTGAAAGAAACTGTCATCTTACGAGCGACTCCTCATATAAATCAGCGAGATTTTCTTTTCCTCTCTCCATTCTGTGTGTCATTCCATAGAATACAAGGAGGGAGGTTAATTGAAAGAGAGGTAGAGGAGAAATCAAACAGAAGCAAACGTGGGTTCTCGATAGAAAACAAGAGTATTCATCGGTCGCCTGGTTGTCTTCATAAACTGGGTTCCTGCCTTCCTAAGATCTTGAGCATGTCTTGGGCATGTTGGTAGTATAAGAGTTGAACGCAGAATACTCACCGGACATTGGCTCTCGCTCAGAGGGTCCCATGCTGATAGTTTTATTAATGTGATCGTATCTTCCTCTCATTACAAATGATGAGTTCCGCAAAGTGGGCGTGTTCATCTACAGGGCTTGGGCCAAGCCCTCCTTTCTTGGGTTACGCATTTATTAGCGATGCGTGCAGATGAAAAGTAAAGCAGCAGGAGACTGATTTTCAGGAATATTGTCATTAAAAGGGACATCTTTGTCTCCCCCCCCCCACCCCGAAGGCACTTGGGAATGTTGGGCCCTTTTATGAATAAAGAAACAAAGGGGCTTTTAATGAAAGAGCCACATCGATACAGGCAGCAGTACTTGTCATTAACACGGTTTGACAGTAATAGCCCATAACACTAGTGTAGCCCCGGATTGTAATAACAATCGTGTTAGGCTGTAGCTCATCCGCAGGTGGGAGGATTGTCCTACACGTGTCCCATGTTTGTTTCTCATGAGATAGGAAGCATGTAAGGATAGCGTAGAGGACCCCAGAAGCAAGTCAAAAAAATATGGACTAGGATTAAATATCTTATAAGCAATAATTGGCATCATTTGAGTATCACGTGGCTTTCGCGATATTTAAGAGGATTAAACGATTGCACTCTGTGAGGGTTGATGTGAGTCAGGTTTGAAACTAGTATCTGAGAAGTTCAACTCTGTAAACTGGGAGGGACTGGTGAGTTTTGACCAGACTGAGTGAGTTTCTTTCACCATGTTTAACTGGAATAGACTTAGAACCCATTAACATGTGAAGGCAACTCGGTCGGTTGGTTTGGTTCAGTCTCCTGGCTCAGGTGAAAGAAGAGAGAGCCGTCTACAGCCTGCCTGTACCTCCACTTAAGTGGCCACAGAAAACAACGTAAAAATCTTGTCTCCTCATCTTCTGCATGTTGCTTATTAGCGGAGCGCAAAGCCAACTGAGTGTCCTGAGCAGTACGAAGTCCTAATTGCCTCGTTTTGAGCATTCGTCAATCTATAACTCCCACAAGGGCTTTTCTTCTTAGCATCCACTGAAAAGATTTCTCCCTTCATTATCCATTTATGTCTATCTGAGTGCACTGGAGACTGGAGATGAGATTGAGTCCTGAAGAGGCCATAGGGCTGTTTAATAACTTTTGGCTGTTCTCTCCCATGAGGAGTTGACACAAAAGACAAGAAAGCTCAGCTCTGTGAGCTCTGTAGTGGCTGAGTGTCTTCTCAAACCCATTGGTACTTTTCTCCAGGAAGCCAAATGGGAGGAAACAGGCTTATATTAGTAACAGTGAAGAGCACAGGTTGGAAAACATACATAAATCTCAGGAACAAGGCCCCTTTGAAATAGTTGAATCTCCATTCCAGTAAGCTTTAACAATCTGTCAGAATTCTGTAGGTGTGTAAGACTGGGCATTCCATGTTCTCTTCCGTGTTATTTTTAGAAGTGGGGTAGTTTTTCATTTCATCCTACCCGTTATCCCAAAGGATTTAGTCTCTTGGATCCTTGCCCTATCCGAAGGACTCTCGAGGTCGTTTGCAGTTCTGGGATGTCTTAACTGTTGACAGTTTCCGTTGACTATGCAAAGGCAGTAGACCTGAGCATGGGGTTCCCTTGCTGCCTCAGTTTCCTTTTGCCATAGGAAGGAATCATCTTCAGTTTTGAAGAAGTCCCAAGATCCACTTTGTAGACCTCACCTGCTGACCGACCCTGGTTACCTTTTACATATGAATTCACTTATCTTACCCATTAAGCATCATTGAATGGCTTCCCTATGATACGGACTGAATGCTGTCCCACTCAAAAGGCAACGTGACATTTTTTATTTAATACACATGCTCTGAATTTTTTTAGAGATGTGTCTTTAA